GGCCTACTACTCAGTGAATTAATAAGCAAATGCAATATATAGCCAATATGTATATTTTATTACCCTATTTTAAGTTGTTCATTTGTGATTGTAAATTGTCTACAATTGTAAAGTTCTTTCATTCATTCAATCGAACAGAAACAAAAACAAAAGAATACCCAAAAACAAGACAGAAAGAATAAAAAACAAGATAATATTTGACAAGGTATTCTGTGTACTAGATCATGCATCTTACTCGCTTTTGCTTAAAGATTAATTTTTAACGAATTAGCTTTTGATCGTTATTATGTTATTGTTATAACTGTTGCCATCTTTTTTGCTGAATTTACTTTTTTATTTATCTTGTTTTTTAACAAGCTGGTCTAATTCAAGCCCTAAAGTCCTCAAGGTTTTGCAAAGATTTAGCGCTTTCATCCTATGGTTACAGTACTTACGTGAGGAAGGCATATAGAAGAATCGTCAAAAGTATCCCGAGAATGGAAAGGCCTAGTCCCACGTATGTGATAATTTCCAGAATGGTTTCGTCCCCCTCTGTGAGCTGCAAAGAGACGTGAAGAGACATAGATATCTCGTTATATAACTTAAACGAGCTGCATTACCAATGCTTAAAATAAAACCATTACCCCTGGGCTGCCATTGTAGTCAACTAAGACAGCAAAATGAGTGAGATGATCGCAGCTGCAAACTGTTTCTTCTGAGTTGCTTTCAGATGCCACTTCATAGCATCCTGTCTCTGAAAATCCACCTGAACTGAAAATGATAATTAATAACACTAACAATTGCGATGATAATCCAGATGTGTATACTGCCGTATAATAATAGTAATAATAATGATAATAATGATAATATTAATGATTATATTAATAATATTAATAATAATAATGATAATAATAAAAATAATAATAGTAATAGTAATATCACAAGTTCACTCAACATTGCGAGGCGCTTTAAGATTTTGTGACAAGGAATATTAGACTTTTATCACATTTAAGTGCTTCCATAGTGATTTATAGAACCCTAAGTATTTAGATTGAGGATTTTAGTAAATAGCGATTACGTTTAGGACTAAGGTTTTTATGACTAGGAATTGCCGTGGTTCGCTCAATATTGCGAATGCGAGGCGCTTTAAGAATTGAAATAGGGGATGTTAGATGTTTTAGTACATTTAAGTGTTTCCATAGTGATGTATGGAACCTTCAGTATTTTGATTGGGGTTTTACTACATAGCAATTAAGTTTAGGGTTTTTATTTCTAGGGTTTTCAAGATTAGGAATTGCTACAGGAATTTTCATTGAAAGGACTTTAGTCGTTGCACTGATTGTCCATGGCTTGCCGCCCAATCATTGTATAGGATATCTGGGCATCCAGACAGTTTTTACTGCCATGATAAAATAAAGAAATTAACCCGAAAAACCGTAGGGGCACCGATAGTTTAATGTCTTTCCTCCTTCCATGAGTTCATAAACTCTGCACATCATCGAATACTTTCGATTTTGACATCTGGTGAAATTGTTTATTCTAAAGTCGCCTTTGAATAGTCACGTTCAAACTGAGACCAATGGGTATTCTGGTGTTATTCAGGCTTGGCATAATTTTTAAATAGAGTCGTTAAGCATTATTGCATAGAACAGCATAAAAAAAAAACAAACAAACAAAACATTCGACAAATTAAGGGTTTGAATATATGAGAAAAGATTGACCTTGACAGTCGTTTACAGAACGTGGGAAAAGTTTCAAGGCTTTATAAAAATCGAGCGGGAGTCTTCAGACCTTCAAGAATGATATTCATAACATCTTTTTAATGATTTGAGATTCAAGGTCCAATTACATCTGGAACTGTGCAAATGATACTTTCCAGCTGTTACCTTTCATTTAAGCCACTCCAGAACATACATATCCTCTCTCCTTCATGGACCTAATTTGAAAATAGATCTCTTTGATTAGTTAACACAACATACAAAAATTTACACTAAAATTGTTCCTGTTCTTACATTCAGGTTTCTGAAATTTAAGATGACATTTTCTTGTAGTTTTTCAGGTTTTGGATCCATAGCCATAGCCATTATTCCAGAGTCCAAATATCTATAGAAAAAAATAGAATTTGAGCGTGAAGCCCATCAATTTTGACAACAGTAATTCTTATGAGAGCCCTTACAAAACAGTTTTACTTAAAAGCTGCATTATGTGACCCTGAAAGGATCTTTGACTTACAGAAATAATCATTCTCTCAATAAGGTTTGGAAAACTGATGACCTCGTAAGTTAAATGGATCGAGTTTCTTTTTGTCTGTTTTTGTTGTAAGGCAAATTTGGTTAAGAAACTTAATAGGGAAGAAGCCTCACCTTGTGTTGCCTGTTTGGATTGTGAATGATTGATCTATAAATAATATTTCATGTAGATCCTTATAAAAGATCCCAACAACCACTGAAACTAAAAATAAAAAGGGAACAAAATCAGGCTAAAGTAGTTATATCATGAATTCTGCTGATAATTTATATCATTAATATTATATTTTTTTAATAAAACAGACCTTTATTCACAATAATCCCTAAAAATATTTACAAAATATAAATAATACTAACAATTTAAAGCTTATATAAGACTAAGATTCCACTAATGCTCTCCAGCACTCTACGATATCATTTGAATTAGAATCTAAACACTTAAGATACAAAGTGGCCTATCTGTAAATATCTTACTTATTTTACCATCACTTATGGATTGTCATTTCCTTTCATTATGTAGCTGGACAAGATTTATACTGTTAATATCACTTAGAGAATATATTCAAGGTCAAAAGCAATAAGAATAGATTGTGTAAGTTAACAAAAAACTGCTATTTATTAGTAAATGCATTTCAAAACTGCAAAAACTTGGAGAGGAAAATAAAAGCATTGTATCAGCACATGGAAAATTTGAAACCTCAGTAAGTACAAACCGTTGTTTACAAAACTTGCACAGGATAATTTCATAGTCGCTTGCAGTTCTTGGTTTCTAGGATAGAATTCGCCAGCATTTTCGCGGTCGGCCTTTTGGATAACCAACACTGACGGAGAAAAAAAAAAAACAAATGAGGAAATTGACAATAACACATCTTCGATCAAATTTCTCTCGCGTCATCAAAGCAGATGAGGCATTTCGTAGATCGGCCTACTACTCAGTGAATTAATAAGCAAATGCATTATTACAATCTGAATTAATCATTGCCTTGACTAACCTAGTTTGTGACTATCAATCTTCACTGAAGAATTCCCATCAGTCAAGTTGTTTTTGCCATAATTGAGGGCAAACTCCTCCAAGGCGATTGCCGCATTGAAAATCGATTTTCTTATCATTTCGATCTCTTCTTTACGTTTTGTGATGTTTTGAATACTGGTGATGAAGTCTTCAAATACCTTTATAGACTGTAAAAGCTTGAAACAGTTTTTGTTAAAGTAATATGTTAGTTGGCAGGAAGACGGGACATTCTCTTTAGGGATCAATGTTCCACTTATGCCAGCTCATGTCATAGTAATGATAATAATAACGAAGTTGAAGATGATAATGGAAAAATAATCACAATTATAATGATGATGATAGTGATGATGACGACGATGACGATAATCTGTTTGATCTCGTCAAAGAAAAAAAAGCGAAGAAACAGAATGAGCTGGATGTTTCTACCGCCATCATAAAGATGTACGAGCTCCTTTGGAAACTTTTCAAACATACGAACTGCTTCATTCCATTGGTAATTGTTTCTAATCATAGTTCACGTAATATACACAGTGACCCATTTATGAAAAAATAAGAAAGTAGTAGATTCATGCTGTCAAGGAACTGTTTCCACTAATTTCTACTCCATCTAGTCCAGAAACAGATTTTTTTGCCTAAGGTAAAGAAATACATTAACATTTACATATGGCACGCTACGTAAATAATAAATAAAAAAATTAATAGAAAGATATTACGTGCCAGATTGTCAGTCACTCCTGAAGTCGATGTCGAGGATGTCCACATTGATGGAGAAGTGGACGCTGCAGCTGATGCTGATATCAAAGCATCTGTTACTGACGAAGGTGATGACGATGGAGATGATATTGATGACGATGAAACAACTGATTTTGATGCTGCTGGTGGCGATAATGACGGTGACGATAATGGTGAAAGTGCATCCGATGATGCAGCTGCTGACGACACTGCTGCTGGTTTTGATGATGAACATGAAGATAATTCTTGTGCAAATGAAGTCGCTGATGCCTCTGCGGGTGTTATTGTCTCTAATGATGAGTATGATGATAATGATGATGGTAGTGGCGAAGGTGAGAGTAATGATAAGGGCGATTGCATCAAGGATTGTTGCAGGGCTGAAAGGTGAAGAAAATTTCAATTGTCAACTTGAACTGACACTTAAATTTGAAAGTTATGATAAAGCTAAAAGTAAGCATGTAGAAATTGAGACAGTGTTATTCCACTTATAGAACCTTTGGCACTTTTCCGCAAAATACAAGAAAAGGAGGAGCATGTTTGTTGTATTTAATGTATTTATTGTACTCACTGCAAGCTTGTGTTCCTTGTTCTGCTGAACAATTGGTTGTAAAAACTGGAGTTTTTTTAACTTTTGTAGATGTAACGACATTTGACGTGTTTAGATTTGAGGTGCTGTAGAGACTTTTTGAATACTTGGTACAAGTGCAGCTTCCAGAGGTGCCACATGTGGTGGTAGTAGAGGTTATCGTCCTGAGAGACGGTATGTTAATGTTCTACGTTAAAATTCCACAACATCTACCGTTTCCAGAGCATATAAGCTTATCCTGAAAACTGCTTTGCCAGATTCTAGTCATGCGACATGTGGTAGCCTCGCAGCTTTGTGAGCATCCAAAACATTCCATATCACATTCTCTTTCATTCTTACAATTTTGTGCACAATCAATCTCCCTGCTACATCTCAGATGCATTGTGCAATTTCCTACTTGATTATCGCATTCCTGTTTTGTGCACCTGCCTCCACTACATTTCATTTCACACGTGTTGGCCTTGCAAATTTGTTCACAATCGTTACTGCTATTACATGCCAGACTCATTTTGCATTTCTCTACTTCATCTTCGCATTTCTGCATTTTACAAAAGCCTCCACTACAATCCATATCACATTTTTGTTTAGCCTTGCAAATTTGTTCACATTCCCCCCCTTTACATCCCACATGCATTTCGCATTTGTTTACTTCATTTTCGCATTGCTGTTTTTTGCATTTATTCCCGTTACACCTCAGATGACATTCTTTTGCTTTGCAAATTTGTTCACAATCCCCTCCGCGACATGTCAGATTCATTTTACAAACGTTAAATTTCCTGTCGCATTTCTGGTGACATTGTGACCCGCTCTGCTCCACTTGACAAGTATGACCAATGGCGTTAGTACTACTCTTGCACATCCAGTCGCTACCATCGCAACTGCATGTACTCGGACCCTCTTGGCAAGCATCAACTACCAAACCTAAGCCCAGTAAAGCAAAAAAAAAATAGCTGATAAATATAAAAGTGATGATAATACTTCTAGCAAGTACGAAAGCGACGCAGGACCTTTCGTCGAGCCTATAAACAGCTAAATTCGTGAATGAAATTTTCATGAGAAACTGCCATTACAGCAATGTGTGCGAGTAAATACATCGAACATGTAACTCCAAAACGTTTCTATCCAACGTGCATTGTAACACTGCAAAGCTATAAGTCATGTATTCACCTGTTAATACAAACCGATTTCTTCAAAAACCAATAGCCCGCTAGTAACTTTTTAAATGTACGAGATTTATCACGCTGAATTTTATATGATATGATATCATAAATGTCAATATTTTCCTTTTCGTTGTTTGCAAGGATAGCCCACTCTTAATTAGTTACTTTATTATATGGATCTACCAAGATTTTAAAATTACGCGTCGTCATTATTCTTAGAAATACATCTACTTTTCAAGCTTCTCGTTAGCAGGCCCACTTAAGATTAAAGTATGACACCTTGTTCCCATAAGTACACTGTTTAGGATAGACATATATTCGACTATCCCTGAGAATTAAAAAAAATTTCCAAATAACGGCGTTGACATGTCAGATATCGTTTATTCAAAGGAATGAAAGAGATAAAGCTAATAAAAATGTAAATGCTTATGATTGAGACGGATATTGGATGGCAAAGAAAGAAAATTTGTCGGACCGTTATAAAAGACTTCAAATGGTGTTCTTAGTCAATTAAGTTCGGTAGTCATCTACTTAGTTATTCCAGAATTTTCATGTTCTTAAGTTAAAGACTCCGTTGTCATTTGCATGTTTTACAAAAGCCTTTCATTTTCGTGGTAGATCCGTGAGTTAAATCAGACTTTAAACCTGTCACTCAGTTGTATATTGGTTAACTGGCTTCTTAAAGTCTATCCTCTTAAAGTCTATCCTCTTAAAGTCTATCATCTGAGATATTTTGTCCTGGCTTCCTACAGAAAGCCTCTCTGGTCAGCTGTCACAAATGATGAACTAGTTTAAAGCCGTTCTAAGTGCTAGCGGTCTCTCCTTTTACCCTACTTTTTGTCGAAGATTAATCGCCGGACAGCCATTTTTAAGCTCGATTCCTTGGAGTACAGTTATGACACATGCTAAATGAATTCAACTTTTTAAAGGTAACTTTAGTACTCACTAAAGAGAGTCTTCGATAAAAGGAGTACTCCCAACAACTGACAGCATCTCTTCGGCATCATTTCTTTCCGATGTATGAGTTGAGTTCCTGTCAGCTGAGGCAAACGGAACCTTCTGACAACTTTTCAGTCGCTGTAAATCGGTTCAAAATATCTTTTGCCGGTATAAATATAAGGCTTGTGAGAAATTTCTTTTCAGGAATATTTGAAGGTCAGTCACCTGTGTTGTTTTGAGCCAGAAGCAGCGGTTTACTCAGTTCTGGCATACGATGCGGTAAGTCGACTGTCATGCAAATTATTCATGTAGGGTCTTTCTGCCGAAAGTTAGTCAAAGTAAGCCTTTTCAATAAAGCAAGAAATACAACAGCTATGAAATTAAGATATCTAGTAAACGTTTTATTGGAATTGTAAAGCTATTTCAATGGCGTGGCATGAAATACACAATACATACTGAAAACCGGTGCAGTTTTGAAGTATATATCCTCAGGCTAAAGATATAAACTTACTGGCGACATGTTTTACATTTTCCATATTACTATTGACAAGTAACAGGTGCCAGTCGTTGCTTATTTACATAGTTAACATCGAATTCAACTTTTTTTCGGAGCGTCGACATCACAAGAGTTTCTTCAAATCAGTTATATCTCCGCTTGAAATAACTCTCTAGTAAATAATTATTATTTTTTGTTTGCATTTTCTATTGGTCCTCACTAAGTGGTGTGAGGCGGTAGATCTAACCTGCATATGCCACGCACTAGAGGGCGTTATTGCCAAAATGCGTGACGTTTTCCGTTTCTTAAAATAATTACTGGGCATAATATCTCACCAAGGCTTCATAAGTC